CTGCATTGCTTTTCATTTTAACAAACCTTTATAGTAATTTAGCTTTTCAATCTTTTGCTTTTCTTAGATGTTTTATCTTCAACTCTTCCTTTGATTACTTACTTGATCAAGCCATTACCATGAATGTTTCATATCCTTTTATCTAATATCAATTTATAAATGAAATAAAAGAAGGTTGACCTTAGGTTTGCATAAGTCTATGCAATCCATCATTTTCTAGAACCACATCTCAAATGCCTCCATCCTTCTAACATTGCTCACTTTAAATGACCATATCTTTGATCCATCCTTTTATCGCTTTTCCACATTTCCAAATTTCTGTCTTCTAAAACTGTTTGAATTGCCATTGCTGTTTTGCTTTAATATCTTCACTACTTCAGCCATTGAATCCATGATCCATATCAAAATGCTGCTATTATGTAAATAGGGTCATCATAATGTAAGTGACCTAAAATTAGCAATCTTTAAAGATAATGATTTTAATTATAAGTTATCTTGGGGCTGTTACTGCAGCTTTATTTACAGCCTATGCTATACAGAAGATGGCTCCAAAAAAATGGGGAGCAGGACTTTTAAGTGTTTTACCCAAAGTTTGGGAATACATTGAGAAGGTTGGTCGTGATGTAGAAGAAAACAAGAAATTTTGGGGCTACTTTAAAAATAGTTGGGAGTCATATCTTGAACTACGGGAATGGAACCATTGAACCAAAGTTTCCAGTGACATATAACATACCTGAACGTGATGCTTTTTATAAATCTGTCAGTAATGCAGATTGGGGTGGGTCCAGTGGTCATGATTCACCAATGATTGCTTACAATGCTTTGATGATGGCAAAAGATTCCTGGTTTCAATTGTGCTCTTGTTCTATGTTTCATGGTGGAGATAGTGAAAGTACAGGAATATTGGCTGCAGCATCATGGGGTGGTATGTATGGTATGAAAGTTGTACCCGTTGGAAATTATAGTATCCTGGAATATGGTCATAGGCTTATGGAGCTTGGTAAAAAGTTACTGAATGTATCAAAGAATATGAACAACTAACAGGATAGTATTTATTTAACAAAATTCTGTCAACCCAATATACTTTAGTATGTTTGCAACTCATACAATAAAAATTATGACTTGATTATAACATAAAAGCAAATTACTTTAGAAATAAAGTCTAAAGAAGAATGTCAGATTCAAGGCATGGGCAGTTCTAAGTTATACTTAGGATGATTCCCGGCTGTAGAGTAAGTTTATTGACTAGATATCAGTGAAACTATATATAGACAAGGACCATTACATCTTTAGGTTCATTTTACCTCACAAAATGCAAATTGCAAACTTATTCACTACCGAAAATACCTTCTGAGGGACAGGGGAGCTGACTTGGCAGGTGGAAGCCTTGCTCCTACGGTCTATGTGTTTAAAATAGGCTTAACATAATTTAGAAGGTACAATTTTCTTTGAAACAAGTAGCTACCAAAGTATAACTGTAAAGCTTTGTCATATTCCCGAGTTTCATAATACAACACACCTAGATTTTTTAAAAGACTTAACGACATCAACCTGACTAGTTCCTAACGATTGTTTTCGAATTTCCAGAGCTTTTTCATGAACCTCTATAGCTTTGTCGTAGTTTCCAGTTTCATAAAACACCAAACCAAGATTGTTTAAAGACCGAGCAACATCAACATGATTTGAACCTAACGATTGTTTTCGAATTTGTAGAGCATTGTCGTAAAACTCCATAGCTTTATCGTAGTTTCCAGTTTTACAAAACACCAAACCAAGATTGTTTAAAGACGTAGCAACATCAACGTGATTTTTACCTAAGGATTGTTTTCGAATTTCCAGAGCTTTTTCGTGAAGCTCTATAGCTTTGTCGTAGTATCCAGTTTTATTAAACACATTACCAAGATTGTTTAAAGACACAGCGACATCAACATGATTTGGACCTAACGATTGTTTATGAATTTCCAGAGCTTTTTCATGAAATTCTATCGCTTTGTTGTTGTTTCCAGTATGATTATACACATTACCAAGATTGTTTAAAGACGTAGCAACATCAACATGATTTGGACCTAACGATTGTTTTTTGATTTCCAGAGCTTTTTCGTAAAATTCTATAGCTTTGTCGTAGTTTCCAGTTTGATAAAACACCATACCAAGATTGTTTAAAGACGTAGCAACATCAACATGAATTGGACCTAACGATTGTTTTTTGATTTCCAGAGCTTTTTCGTAAAACTCTATAGCTTTGTCGTAGTTTCCAGTTTCATAAAACACCAAACCAAGATTGTTTAAAGACCGAGCAACATCAACATGATTTGAACCTAACGATTGTTTTCGAATTTGTAGAGCATTGTCGTAAAACTCCATAGCTTTATCGTAGTTTCCAGTTTTACAAAACACCAAACCAAGATTGTTTAAAGACGCAGCAACATCAACATGATTTGGACCTATTAATTGTTTTCGAATTTCCAGAGCTTTTTCGTGATGATTTTTAGCTTTGCTATACTTCCCGGTAACAAAATATAAAAGACCAAGAATATTAAAATACCAAGCTTTGTCATAACTAGATTCTTCTGATTTAAATTTATCCAATAGTTCAAGAGCAAGATCGTATTTTCCAAAATGTCTTAATTTGTCAACAAAATATTGGAAAACTTGTAAAGTGTTCATGTTGATTTTCGTCTTGTTGGTCTTTAATAATTGAACAATTTTTTCAAGATGTGGCATTAATTTGATTTCGTTGTCTCTCTCTTTAAACATGTAAAGTGCTTTGGATATTTGATCAACGTTAGTTTCCATTTCATGTTCTTCATTTGAATGTTCAGATTGATAAACAATAATTGCTTTGTGAACAATGCGATGTAGACTAATGTCATTATTTTCTGAATGCAAGAACAATGAGCAGTCCTTTAAACAAAGACATATATCTTCCTTTGAGTGTTTGGGATCTATTTTTTGAACATAAAAAACAATAATGTCTCGTGGTATAGGATCAAACGATATCACGGAAAAAAAGTTAATAACAATTGCCAATATTGAGGATTCTTCAGCATTTTGTCTGACAGCTAAAAGTGAAGCTTGTAACATACTTCTAGGATATACCGAGTTAAATTTAACAAAAGTGGCGTCCATGTTTTCTTGTTCTTCTGAAGATATTTTCTTTAAATATTGTCTCAAAGTAAATGAGCAGTTTGCTTTGTTTACACGACTGACATAACAACCAGCGGCAGCCAAAGCCAGCGGTTGACGATCTAATGCGTGGGATACTTCATTCAACAATTGTTCATCAGTTATATGATCTTCAGTGTAAAATTCCAACAGTTGACAACATTCTTTATCATTCATTCCACTTCTGATGGAAATATGTTTGTTAAACTCATCGTCTTGAGGCACGGCATCTGTGTTCTGGATAGTAACTATGATTTGTCCATTTATCCACATGGGATCACCAACTTGGGGGAGTAATGAAGAAATTTTGCTAAGCTGTACCACGTTGTCTACAATGATCAACCAATTTTGCCAAAATTTTAATCGTGTGGATACTAACGATCGCAAATTCTTCACTTTGTCTGCGATGGAACAATTTTCATCTTCAAATTTTTTAATCATATACTTGTCACAGTTTAAATGGTATCCAAGTTCACAGTAAGTTTTAAAAGAGATTCCTCATTTTTCCATCGAGAGTCATTACAAACGAAGTTCTATTTTTCCAATCACACGATTTTTTCACAAACCTGTCTTGCAAGTTGTGATTTACCACTGCCAGGATTACCAGTGATGTAAAATATGTCAGTTTATCATTGTTATCATTGCTTAATTTTTCAAGATCTTTTATAATTTTATTTCGTAATTCAGTGCGTTCAACAAAAAAATGATTAGATTTTGAAGGAAGAACTTGGAACGAATTAAAACAGTTTCGATGATTTTTTATTTCAATGATTTCACGAAGAGAAAAATTCAAATCTTGAAATGATTTTTCAATGATGTTGACTATATCACCAAAATCATCATCTGAACATTCCCTTTCATACCAATGTGCGTACTTGTTTCTTTCACAACGAAGTGCATGAACAGCATCCTTTGTTTTTTTGTCAAGGTGGTTTTCAATTGAATTTGAAAAAATTATTGCATCAAATAATATCGTACAGTCCCACTTACTGGTATCTCCATCTTGATATTTTCGTCGAGTTTTTTGGTCTAACCTTCTTCTTGATTCTAAATTGTAAAATTTGTTACCACTGATGTGTGTATCATCCCATTCTCCATAAGTTGATTTGTAATGAGAGTTCCATTGTTTAATGAAAACTGAGCAAGTTCCTTTGTACCACGTTAATTATTTGCTGAATGTAAGACAGATTTCTTATTCCTGACGATTCCATCTGT